GCAGGGGCTTAATTATTTTTCTTTTCCAAATCTTCCACGATTCTTCGACAGTTCTTGTCTAGGAAGAAAACAGCTAAGTAAGCCACCGAAAATCTATCAGCTACTGAAAACGCCCTATTGTACTCAAAGGCTTTACATTTTGCACATAGCTCGGATCTTGCATCTCGTTGCATCTATCTCTTCGAAATCCCGAAAGTTCACTTTCCTAAGCGCACTTCTTCATGCTTATACGCCTACAGTTCCGCACCATGCAGATGAATCCTTTCGACCATCGTATTTGCATGAAAATGTCATTCAAACCTTTATGGAAGCTGAGTTGAAGGAAGCTATCAACATAATGATTACAATCTAGTTCCCTACAAAATCTTTTCTTTCTATGTGACAAAAATGGCAAAGTATAGGGAAAAGCAATTTATGCATTTATTTCTACCGCTATAATAAATATAAGCGGTCTATTGATGTAAAGTCACCAAAAACTTATTGACTACTAATCACATCGAATTAAGGATTAACTATAGTTAAATTTGTCATGTTTAGCACTGAATAATAATCACACCGTAATAAAATAATTGATTCATCTTTTGAGGTATATTAGTATGACATTATGTGTTGCTAATCTAACTCGAATATCCCAGGCGATTGGCGCGCTGACTGACGGTACCCTACATCGAATGGTTATACGAACATTACTTTCCCTTAAAAACGTAAGTTTCTTGAGGTCCACACGATGTTAGTAACTTTCAGCTGCTTTTAACAACTCTTTTATGGCCAATCAATCGCACTTTTACTGATCATCGGATTGGAAGTATTGGTGAATTATGACGTGGTGATGTAATTTTTACAAAGTGCTCATTGGGTTCTGTCTTGGTGCCGATTCATTCTAGTTTTATCTCCAAATGAAATTATTGCACACCTCCTGAGATTAGATTGCTGTGCCCACAGCATAAACCCACCAGACTTCGTGTAGTAGTTCACTATCTATGAGCAGTTGCTTTTTAGTAGTGAGGTGTCAAATTATTCATGACGATTACATTAACCTTCTAGCATACTTTAACATTACTTTTTATACGCTGACGTCAGTTTTTTTCACTGGTTCAATGCGCTATCGCATAAATAATTCACAACGATCAAATGATTTCCACCGCTTGCAGCTACATTCGTTGTGGAGTACATTGAACTCAAACTGCAAGTCTTTCCATTCTCTTTTTTTTTGTCATGAGTCCTACTAGTCTCTCATTTTTCATGAGAAAACAAGCAGTACTAATCTTTGCGACGATCTTTGTGAAAATTTCTGCAAGTTTTCGAACTCGATCGTTCGCAGCTGTTGATCCACATCTCAAAAGCGCGGTGTATTGAAACAAAGTTACGCTGATTTTTGAAAACTGGAATAGAACAAAACTACGAGTCATTGTTTCTAGCTGCCTTGGGTATCCAATGCTTCAGTAGGCCTAGTTTGATCAGATTGTGCGATAACTTGTCTCCGAACACGTCCTTTATGAAGGCGAAGCAGGAAACTCAACAAACTCACATGTTTCTATGCCACCTTTAAATTTCAATTTTCTTCGACGAAACAAGTAAAAAACAAGGCGTCAGTTCTATTCCGTTCTTTGACACTGTCTTGCGATCATTTATCTAAGCACCTATTAGAGTCTTAGCCTGGCTAATGTCAAGACAGTAAAAATTTTTTGATCAACATTCTACACTTAGGAACAAGATAAAGTCCTCAAGCAGCATCCATATCAGACTCAAATTGTTCGATGAGATTTGAAACAATGAGTGCGAGGAAGCGAATCGATTGTAAGAAGTGCTGAGATCCGCACAGTGAATTGGGATGACTGGTTATGTAACATTGAAGAATTGAATTGTTTACTCTTTGCACTTGCGAGCTGATCATGGAAGTCATCTCTCACGCCGAGAATGACACTAAATTAATGAACTTGCCGGCAGATTTCCCTCCTATTTTTGGTCATCTATCCAAGCCCTTATCATTTTTTTTGCTATTCGTAAGGTAAATAATATTCCTCTTGAACTCACACAATCATTTGTAGAAGTCACCGTCGTTAAAGAAGAGCCTGAGAAAGCGCAGCGTAATGAAGGAAAAGGAATCGAACGAGCAAATTATGAAATCTGTATATGAGAAGTGTGATGTCAGTGACGTTTATTCTTATAAAGTTAATTTGATTTTTGTAGTATGGCTCACAAATTTTCAACCACCAGAATGTTATTTACTCGGGGTGAATATCGTAATATTCTATTGTGATGTCAAAACACCACAAATCCATCATAGTAATAGAGAAAATCTATAAATCGGATGGCAACACCGTCTGAATGTACACGCAGGATCGTATTACCTTAATTTCATTTGGGTGTAGCTTGCTTTAGTTGAATAGTTGGCTACATGAAAGCTCCGTTTTCACTAGTATTCTGAACAGCTCTTGAAAAAGATTTTAGCAGCAGGCTTGTTATCTCAGAAAGTTTGGTGGGTAAGGCAACGCAGATAAAAATATGTTCCGTACTCGACGTAGTTGACCTACCGCTTCGTTGAGGGAGCTTTTCCATCGAGGAGGAGTATGCATTTGTCATTGTGATTAAAAACCTACATTCTTGGTTCCACATTGTACATTGGCTGATGTTGTTTGCCTTTTACCACAAATGCTAAATGATCAGCAACTGGTGCAATCAACAACAAATAACAGCAGTTTGCTAGAAATCAGTACCAGTAAGCAATTTTTTTCTCTCGCATATCTCTCTTGAATGAAATTAGTACTTCTCACAACTCAGATGGCTTGTCCTAGAGCAATCAACAAACTGCGAAACAGCTAATTTGTTTACTTGCATGTTGTTCAGGAGTAAATGAGGAAACGGCCCTCATTCTTCGATTTTTAAGCAACCATTCGATAGAGTAAGTTTCACCAATTGTCTTTATTCTGTGGAAGGACCGTTCCACAGCATTGTAGTAGGGAAAACAAGACTGAGATCCACATATGCGGCACATTAATCTGTCGGCTAGTGTGGGTTTGGTATCTGCTGGCCATGAATTCAATACGCCATTCCGCAATCGATCAATTACGCCCAAGCGACTCACATGTGGAGTGCTTTTATTATATAACGTGGGATTTTTCCTCCGCTTTAAGAGATTTCGATATAATCTATGACTCCGACACTATAAGGTTTTCTTTGCGCGTTCATATACATTTTGGCTCCCAGCAAAATAACATTGAAACGGTGAGGTCGTTGTAAAACATAATGTTATTTTGAATGCTGCAGCATTACGAAAAAAATAAAAAATTAATAGTGATCTACTATCAACCGCAATCTACCGACGGAAAAAAGTGATAAAAACACATACTCTCATGTTGTCACCACACGCGTCTCCCCTTGCTGCTACAAAGTAGGGCTCAGTGTGGGGCGTGGGCTACTGATGAAGAGAGCAATACGTTCGAAGCACGTGTATGGTTATGACGTAACAACCTCGGTAAAACTTCAAACATTCTTTAGACTATATTGAATGCTTATAGCGAGGTAGAAAAACAGTCGATAGATGGATTTTTAGTGATCTATTACCAACCACAATTTATCCATTCAAAGAAAGTGATGATAACATATTATCGTCTGTTATCACCAGATACATCTTTCCTCCCTGCTGCAATGTAGGGCTTAGTGTGGGGCATGGGCCACTGATGAAGAGGGCGATACCTAAACACCTGTATGGCTCTCAGGTAACACCAACGCTTCAAACATTTTTGCAGAGTATACTGAATGTTTATAGAGAGATTAAGAAGCAGTCGATGGAATGGATGAATGAAATAAAGGATTTTTATAAAAAGAGGTGCTTAGCGTCCTGACCAGAGATTTAGGCTTTCAAGTGGATGGCTACACTTTCTTGGAAATTTCTTGTTCAAGGTAAGGAGTCGTTTCTTATTTACTTTCGCATGACGTGCATGAACCTCACCCTGCACTACACCATGGTCTGCAACTTTTTGACATTCTGATTTACCGCATTTGCGTTTGCACTTGTCACACATGATTCTAGCGGTCGAGTGGTTCCTTGCACGTAGTTTTATACTGCCTAGAGTTGCTCATCAAATAGTAGGATTTTGAGCCACAGCACCTTCCTTGTACACCCGCCGATTATCCCTTCGTCTTTCCAACTATACTGTTCTCCATTGTCTGAGTCACTATCGCCGAAATCAGAATCTGAGATACGAAAATTTCTTTCCTCTATATCATCGTCTTCGTATCCGAGCTCCTCTTCGTCATCATTTGCCAGGAAAATTTATTTGGACATAATTATTTTCAGAAACTTCTGCGAGAAGAGGCTTATAATTCCGTGCACATAGCTGATCCCTCTTGCATACATTCTATAATCAGCATGTCATAATAATATGCACCTCGCACTTTCAAAAACGTTTCTCACCTTATATAATACATTTGCATCAAAGGCTATACATTTTCTGGAAAAACATTTGTTAATATATCTTGTAACAGATGTAGAGTCATCGTTTTATGAATTTGATATTGCAGTTACTCCAGCCGGAGCAACAAATGGCGGACTAAGAAGTCTCAGTTACAAGGATGAAAGATCGCAAGCAGCTGCAGATGGTCTCAATGATGACATCATGAGGGGTGGAAATTGGGAATGTACACGAAATCACCGCAGGAATATTCAACTAAAATATAACTGGAGCAAGAAATATTGCATGTCCAGTTTCAGAAGCAGCCACCATAAATGTGCATAGTGTAGTGTGAACAGATATAGAGGAAATATTTACCATAGAACGATAGAAGAGAGTCTGTGGTATAGTTCTGTAATAGTCGCACTCCTGGCGTTTACTAGTGGTCAAAAAATTGTCGAGAACTATTAAACTACTAACAACGTATGCAATTTTTGTGCTTTTGACGGAATATTCAAATCAAATTTGTGATGTTTTTACTGCATTTTTGCAGTGTTATGATTTTTCACACATATCTGAGAGAACTGAGTGGTAAGCAAAAAATACGACCTCGGACGGGAGTCGAAACCCGCATTTCATCCATACTAGGGACGCGTGTTACCACTACGCCACCGAGGTAGATTTACACCACCATTCATTTTCCAGCATCTCTATGTTAGCTGTTAGCCACCAGCCTTTAACAGATTTTATTGGGTATTCAACTTTGCTCTATGAACACAGTTGAGCCGAAAGCCACTGTGATAGATAATACACGAATTTTTTATTGTTTTACTGCATTTTTCGCAGTGTTATGATGATTCATACATACCTGAGAGAGGTGATGGTATGTATGAGACATCATAACACTGCGAAAAATGCAGTAAAAGCACTAGAAATTTTGAGTATTACCTAACACAATAGTTATCAGCTCAACTGGGTTTATAGAGCAAAATCGCACACCCAATCGAATTTGTAGAAGGTTGGAGGCTGACAGCTAACATAGAGATGTTGAAGAATGAGTGGTGACGCGAATGTACCTCGGTGGTGTAGTGGTAGCACGCGCTTCCGGGTATAGATGGAGCGCGGATTCGACTCCCCGTCTGAGACTCACTCGTACTTTTGCTCACCACTCAGTTCTCTCAGAAATATTTATCGCTTTTAACATGCAGAAACATGGTACATCAAGACAACAAAATAGCCCAAATTTTTTTCCAAGTTCGAAAGAAAAACCTCAATTCATAAGAGGCGTCATCTATCACTTGCCACCGTCATGTGAGAAGTGTTTTTCAACGGCCATCGCGGAAGTGGAAGATTGCTAGAGGTGATTGAATGCATATATGGTCATTACAATGCCTTGTGGTTGTTGATGAAAGAGTAAAGTAGATTATATTACCTTTACTTTGAGTAGATTTGGATCAGTGCGGACCTCGGAGAATTCAAAGGTTTATTGGTCAGAGGCACGGGACTGAACTAATGAATGTGTGTGTTGTAATGCACTCTCAACCATTGCGCTATTCGCGCTTCTTGTAATACGAATATCACCGTTACCCGGATACCATGTCAATAATCGTATTCAAATACGGTTGAGCTTACTGCATTGTTTTGGATTCGTAATATTCATTGAGTATGTTGACTGGTTGGAAAATGTTCACGCTCTTTCGTTTAGCACGTGAGACTTTTCTTCATCACTTGGAGGTCTCAAACTTAGGTAACCAAAGTTTTATATACGGTAAGAAAGGTAGTAATAACAAGTCAGCTTTACTAATGGGTGCACTCAAGAGATAGATATACAAAGCGGGATCAGTAGCTAAAAGTTCAAAATAAAAGGAAAGTGATAAGAAGCGAAGTGTCGAAGATATATGCAAAGTATAATGAGAAGCAGGTTTCTAAAATTTATAGACGTGAAGTATGATGAGCAACGAATGACCATAAGCGTGAGAGCGTCCTTGAGAAAAGCTGGTGGTATAATGTGTTGCGCGAGTATGAAAGAGGATATCACAGCACCGAATATAACGAGAAGTCGGCATTTTGATGAATTGCATAACAGATTGTATTTATAGTGTGATGAGGAAGAAAATTTCATCGGGAAAGATAAAGCAGGAGAGCAAAGCGATGTGAACGAATGATGGTGATTCTGGCGTGGTGGCAGTAGGCAAATGAACTGCCGTAAACGTGACTTCTTGACAGGCCATTCTCACGTTGTTGGCCTGTATCTAGCTGACAAGCACAGTTTGGCAATCTGTTAAGCGAAAAACACTAATCAGATGTTAGATGAAACCGAACCAACTTCTGGGACTTCTTGCTCGTGCGGCAAAACGACTATGTTGGTTAATAAGTAGTCTTTCGAAGATGCAAAATATGTGATAGTGGTGAGCATTTATAACATAAGAAGTAACAATTATTTAGCAAAGTGATTGTTGTGGGTCTACAGAACGATAGGCCTTCACGGTACTTTGAATGCTTGAAACTTGTTGAGCGCCATCGCACGAAAAACACTGTTATGTCTTCTGCTATCGACTGCTTTTTTTACAGACCCGCTCAAAATGATTTAATCTGATAAGGATATGACATATTTTGAGCCATAGGTCTAGTGCTATATAGGCGCCTATTTCGTCCTATTGGGACTCATCAGTAGCACCCTCCCTCGGTTCCGTTGATCCCTTGAGGTGAAACAATCCTCCAAAGGAACCAACGCCGAGTAAAATTAAGCACCCAAAGTAGGATGATGTTATTACCTGACTTTGTGGTGACCGGCAGTCGAGCTGTTATGTCTATCATACTACGGAAAGTGAATACTATTAGATTAAACAAAAAGATTGTGAAAATTTACAAAAGTTTCATTTTTGACATCTTTGTGTTGTTTTGTGATAGTATTGTGTATATCTATCTAGCTCATTAATTTCAGTTCTAAAATGCCTATTGAACCGTGTGTTTTGCGCGTATTGATTTTCCACTATTGGAAAAGGGACTTAATGATTCTCAGAGCCGTCTATGAGATTAATGAGGGCGAAAGTGTTGGTTCGGCTACAAAATAGACCGCGGTCAGATGATAGGAAGTAAATTAATCTTTCATCGTTCTGGCTTCCCATCTCTTTTGAATGAGAGTAATTCGAAGCCTCTTTGGATGCTGAACCTTCATCGAGCACTGTTATTTGGCTGATGAGTCTGGTTTTTCGCAGCAAACCGTTGTCATTAATTTGAACCAACTTGACTTTTCCACAGGGGCTTCGTAGAATCCTCATGAACTTTGCGATTGTGGTCTCTTCCGATCAAAGCAGCACGTTTATCGATTTGAAACATTTAATGGATTATTAACAATATTAATATTAATTAACAATTAATTATATTAACAATCGATATTACATTTAATTTATTATTAATGGAAACATTTAACATTTAATGTTTTGCTCACCACTCAATTCTCTTAGCTGTATAAGTACATTTAATGGAATTAAATAAGCATTCCAAGAGTTTTTTCGATTCACAGGAGTGGGAATGGTACTTCAAGCAGATCTGGAACTTTGCAGAAACATTGCAGAAAGTCGTGCACAATGGTGATCTATAATTTGAAGAATAGCTGTTGCTTTTTTGCTGTTAATTTGCTCACAAAAATGAAACTCTCAAAAATTTCGCAAAACTTTTTCTAAACCCTCCGTATAATCCCGCTACGCTATCAGGACGAAACCAAGCGCAGTAATCAATACGTAAAATTTTAGCAATCGCACACCACAAATGCACGTATTTTTGAATAATGCTTTTCTCATCTGACGTAACAGAGAAGTTTATAAGCAGCAAAAGCGATTCCAGATATAATCAGACGGTCCTTTTTCTTTAGCGCGCACATTGCAGAATGTAGTAATTTACTGCAATCAAGTCATCATAACACATTGTCGCAAAATCTTCAAATAAGCTGTAATCAAGCAAAGCTGTTTTTGTAATTTACACGGCAGACTTAGTCAACAAAGAATGTGTGATTGGTTGGTCAATCAAAGGTAGAGAAACGGCAGGAGAATATATGACCAAAAAGAGAGGAATCTAATCAGTCAACGAACAAGTGTAATTGTACAGCACTCCTATCTGCTGAAGTGTATACAGATATTTCATGCAGAATACGTTTGAATTTTTGCCGAAATCGTCCTTAGTAACTTTGTTATTATGCTCTTCTTTTGTAATCTGTTCTACAGTCTCACCATTTTTTCCCTCGGCTTCTACACGACGGCTGTGACATTAACAGCTCTCCAAAGCTGAACTGCTGAACTTTTCAACATATTGTTTACATTCATTTTCTACACCACGGTAGATGGTCTTGTGCACTACTTATCCAAGCCATCTCCTTAGCATAAATCTCGACAAAACAGCTAGATTTCATTTCAGAAAAACCTTTAAAGTGTGCTATATGGGAGAAAATGAAATCACATGTCACATTCGGAATTTCTTTCGCACTCAAGAGCGATATTCATGAGGAAGTTATGTTTTATCGAACTGATATTAAAAACTCTAAATTATTCCCGAAGCTAGGGAAAATATATATCAAATAACGAAAAAGCGTGCCGCTTGCAATACTGATTAAGCTGCTCTTCGCAAAGGGTCAATGTCTCGTCGTGACACAAATGGCCTTTTAGCATTGTAGATTTCATTCATCGCAAAAGATCTGATGATTGACTGCCGATCATTCATAAAAGACTGACCAGCATTTCCTTTTTGCGGTATCTCGCCGATTTTCGTTCACTCTTCATCCTCCGTTTCTCAGGTAGTTGTCTCATTTTACTCAATATCGTTTTTAATCACAACTCTCCTGTATTGCCACACCGTTCGGCAGCACTATCTCGTTCCCAATCTAAGTTATTTGCTGAGAATCAAAACACTGCCCAAAATGAGGTTTTCTTTTGAAATGTATGAATTTGTCTATGAATTTATAATCATCTGAAAACTGCGGAAAATTATTCAAAAGAGGCGGGCGTAGTAGAAACATAACTTACAACTACAAGAGGATGAGGAAGTGAAACATGGTAACAAAACACTTAGCCCTAATTTTAGATACATGAGCTGAATGTTTTTTCACTTCTTGAGTAGTCCAGCATAATAGAGGCCTTGATCCTATTAAGCCTTTTTTTGTCTCGCCAATCCTATTCAACTCTTGAAGAACGGCCATAGAAATTGATCCGCAAGACAACTTGCGTAGTGGCGCACGATTTCCGTTGTTTGACCTAGGTTTTCTCTCTGTTATGTGGAAAATTTGATTTTTTTTTGTATTACTTTGATAGAATACGATCCTCTCTACTCGCTCATAAGCTTTTGGTCCAAATATGTGAGATGCGTATAAAGGAAAATGCTGGTTTACTAGACAGTCATAGTGAATTTGGAAATCAATCAATTGTATTAGATTGTAGAAAGGTATCACTATGAAAGTCTTTGGTTTTGATCACTCCTAATTTTATACAAAATCCAATAGCCGCCATCGTGAATAGAAATTAGAAAACAGTGAGTGATTTGTCATTTGTCAAAAATGACAATGCATGTTATATGCCATACTAGTTCATCGATAACTCTGACTACAACTGAATTTATATCAATTATTCGCTATTTCCAATTATTCAGAGGTAATGTCTGTGAGAAAAAGTGGAGATTATGGATAGTGG